GAAAAAAAAAAAAAAAAAAAAAAAAAAAAAAAAAAAAAAAAAAAAAAAAAAAACTAGAATTAGTATAAAATGACTATAAAAAACTACTTTACAAGAACTATTCTGCAAACGCCCAGAGGAGAAAAGTTTTAAATAAGATTTAAACAGGAGTGGAAAGGAAATTCAGGAAGTATTTTCAAAATTCAAATACAATCTCTCCCAATTTAAATATCCTAGTGAACTCCTCTCACTTAAGATTAAAAGAGAAACATCTCACCTGTGTGTTTATTCCAGAATTCATTCTAAAAGGAAAAAAGATTTGAAAATACATTAGGAAAAACAGAGACATTTTACATTAATAACAACCATAATCCACTAACTCAACCTGAATAGGATATTTTCCTCATTGTACGGCTTTACCACAGTTTGTTTATCCATTCACCCAACCAAGGACATTTATGTTATTTCCAGTTTTGGGAATTTTGAATAGAGTTGCTATAAACATTTATTTACAGGTTTTTATGGGAAAATAAGCTTTCATTTCCCTGGGGTAAATACCCAGGAATACTGAGCCATATAGTAACTTTATAGGAAACTGTCAAACTGTTTTTCAAAGTGGTCGTGCCATTTTACATTCTGACAAGGAGTTTATAAATGTTCTAATAGGCTAATAGGCTTTTTAAAAAAAACATGAATGGATGTAGAATTTTGTCAAAATTTTTTTCTGCAACAATTGATATGATTATGTGAATTTTATTTTTTTAACTGTTAATATGGTTGCTTACATTGTTGATAATCAAATATCGAGCCAGCCTTTAGTCCATTTGGCCAAAGGGCTCATTATCTGAGGGTGATAACAGATGCATGTGCGGTTGACTCAAGTCACTTCCAGGAACTCCCTGACAAGCTTAGTGAGGATCTGGGCTGTGGTCTAAAGTGGAAGGCTTTCAAAAGCTTTTGTCACACAGGTATCAACAATCTTGTGAGTTTCTTCAGTTCCGAAGAGGTTAGTTTCTGGCAATTTCACTTCCAGGGTTCTCTTGAGCTCTTCAACCAGGCTGATTCTCCAGAACGGTGGGGTAAAGTCAGTCTCATAGGTTTGGGCTCTGAGCCATCTGGATGGCAGGGGACATTGCAACCACCTCCGATGTGCTTCACCACCTGTGACCTAATCTTCTCCTTGATTTCAGTGAAGATCATAACAGTCTGCACGGGCCATGCAGTGCTCACGGGTGGTGAACCCAGAGTGGTGAGTGAAATCAGTCCTCTCATTCCAGAACTGGCATCCACTTCATAAACCAGTCAGTACCACTAACCATACCGCTGGGCACCTTACAGGAGAGTTCGGGAGCAATTCTTCTGTGTCTGTGTGTGGCTATAGCTGCATCTAGCCACGTATACGTACATCTCTCCAGCTTGTTGTTGCAGGAGGCTCGGCCGCAGCTAGCCTGGGATGACGCTTCTCACGGGTGTTTCCACGTCTAGAATCCCAACTCTCCCAAGAAACTTCTGATCTATGTGTTGTTAGAGGCGACGATACACTTCCTCCTCAGAAACCATTCAGGACCCAGTCCATGTCTGGCTGACGACACCGCGTCCTTGTCCCTGAGGCTGAAGTGATGCTGAGGTGACACAGGGAAGCCGCACCGGCAGCGCCACTTCCTAGGAGGACGCTCCGCTCCCTGCTCCTGGGTTTTGCAGGATCCTCCTGAACTCCAGGGACGTCTCCCCTGGGCGGTTTACTGCCTTGAATAAATCTTCCTAGCTCATAATTCCTTCAATCGGCCATGACTCGCAGCTTGACACTAGTCCCGGAAGGTCACAGAAGATGACGTGGGTCAGGTGGTTCCGGGCTGCCGGGTGAAGCTGTGCCCTGTGGGTCCCCAGCGGCCCTCGCGGTTTCCATTTGCGTCCGCTGTCGTGTGTCGTCGGTGTGGCTGGAAGCAGCCACGCGGGCTGACTTAGCCGTTTCTCTGCGAGCTCCGGCTTGGCCACTTCTCGGCTACTTTCTTGTGTTTCGCTCGTTCTTGTCAGCGTGGGCTCTCAGCCGTCCACTTTCACCTCAGCCCGCGCCCCACGGCCGCCCTCCCTGAGGCCTGAGGAGACGGCCACGAGGCCTGTCAGCCATTTCCTGGATGGCTCCTGAAGCCCCGCCTCCTCAACGGGAGGGGTCGGGCACTTTCCGCGCGCTGCTGCTTCTGCGCAGGCGCGATGCCGGGTTGGGGGGGCCGGTGTCAGTCGTGCTCCTCATGCTGCGCAGGCGCAAGGCTGGGTTGGGGGGGTGCAGCGAGGGTCCTGTGCTTCTGCTGCGCAGGCGCAAGGCTGGGTTGGGGGGGGTGCAGCGAGGGTCCTGTGCTTCTGCTGCGCAGGCGCGGTGCGAGCCCCGTGCAGGCGGCGTCCCTTCTGCACCTGCGCGCCCAGCCCGCTGTTCTCGTAAGGTGGCATAGGAGTGTGGTCGCCCCTAAGCCCTCCACGTGCGGCCTGGGAGGCGCTGGCCGAGGCCCCGAGTCGTTTTTTTCTAAATTAACAGTTCAATTTTAAGTTGATATCACAACACTTGCACAAGTTCTCATCCCCCAGCCCACCTGGGGGCGTCCGACCCTCAGTTTACCCAGAAGGCCAGGATGCCCGCCCCCAGCGTGCTCACCGTCCTCTCCTTGTCCTCGAAGACTTCCCGGGCCTCCTCGTAGGAGCACATCTCTTCCAGGCACTCTCTCTCTAGGTTTCCTTTCTTGAGCTCTTCTAAAAATGAGTTCGCCCTCCTGGCCCTCACCAGCACGTGGTTGGCCCGCTCCCGGCTGAGGAACACTGGAGAAGAACGACACGGGGTTGGAAGTGCCCGTCCCCTCCCTGGTGTCCCCACCGCAGTGTCCTGTCACCTTCACACGTGCACCCGGCCCTGGCAGGCCCTGGTTCCAGCCTCCACACCCTTCTCCAGGGAAGGCACTGCACCCCTGCTTGGCCACTGCCCTTGCCGTGGCTCCAGCTGCGGCTCCAGCTGCGCCCTCCAGCTGCCCACCCTGCAGGGTCTGCACTGAGGGAGCTTGTGGTCCTGCTTCCACCCTGACCTGCGACAAGTACGGTTTATGTCGAGCCCCAGGACACACGAATTTAAAACAAGTTTCAAGAAATAGTACTTACTACATTCTCTATTTGATTCTGTTCTATTTCATTAAGGAACATCAAATTGATTTTGAGACTCACAAATGAGTCATGACCTGCCAGTTAAAATGCCCTGGACCAGAGCATGTCTGTGTCCCCTCTGCGATGTGTGTCTGTGGCCATGTTGTCCCCACCTCCCTGCCTGTGCCTCTCTCTTCCACTCGCCTGCTCCTCTTCCTCGAATTCACAGGCAGCTGGCTGTTCAGGCTGCGTTCAAGGAAGGCCAAGGGCCCGCCGCAGCCGTCCAGCTGTCTCTGTACCTCGCTTCCTTTTCTGTCCTAACTGGTATCCGAACGGGAGCAGCCCCGAAGTTACTCTGAACCAGTTAGGGTTCTGGGGGCTGTGCAATTTGTGAATCGTTCTTTGCTCAATGAAACTATTACACTTAATTCGTCTGAAGCTTTTCTTTCTTTCTTTTTTTTTTTTTTTTGTCTTTTTCGTGACTGGTTAGGGGATTGCCCGCACCGCGCTCAGCCAGCGAGCACACCGGCCAGTCCTATATAGGATCCGAACCCGCAGCGGGAGTGTCACTGTGCTCCCAGCGCCGCACTCTCCCAAGTGCGCCACGGGGCTGGCCCTGAAGCTTTTCCTTTTTTTTTTTTTTTTCCTTTTTGTCTTTTTTTCGTGTCCGGCAACGGACCGCAACCCTCAGTGTCGCGCCTGTACCGGACCGGGACCAGCAACGGGATCGCAACCCTCAGTGTCGCACCCGCACCCCGCTCAGCCAGTGAGCGGGAACCGGTCTGTATGTGGGATCCGAACCCTCGGCGGGAGCGCCGCTGTGCTCCCAAGCGGTGCACTGTAGCAGTGCGCCACGGGGCCGGCCCTGAAGCTTTTCTTTTTAACGATTGTGATATGAGAGACCCTCAGATTCTTTTCTTGGTCCTCTGTACCCGCTGAAGAATTCAGAGTCCGACCATAATGAAGATGACTGTTGGGTCCCTCCGGCCTTGCACATGGGCTGCTTCTCTGGGGCCAGACTGATGTCCCTCGAGTTTTCTTTCTGCTGCCTGGAACCCCAGAGATGGTTCACAGACCTGCTGCAAGGGTCAGTCCCCACTCGGCCAGGGCCTGAGGCTCTCACTGCCTCTGATCAGTCCCTCATTGTTCCTCTGACCCCTTAGAGCAACTTGTCATTCTATGACGGCAGCCCACACCCCTGTTCCCTCTGGTATCCATCCCTGAGCTTCCCCCCAGGCTGTCCCACCACCAAGAATTCGCTCCTTCTCTGCAGACTCCGTCCAATTCCTGTCTCTTCCCATCTCCCTAAAGCCCGCTCTCACCTCTTTCCACCCGGTGGGCATTCAGTAGTGCCTGCAAGTGTGAGCTGGACTGCAATGGGGACGAGGGGGATATAGGTGAGGGGCACGGGGGTGGAAGGGATGATGCCTAAGGAAGCAAGAGCCACCTGAGGCCACAGCTTCCCACCGGCCTTGGCATGGAACCCAGGATCTCCCCAAGGCCAGGCCTCCTGGGCCTCATCACCCCGAACTCTCCCCTTCACGCTCTCTCTGCCACACCGGTCCCCTTGCTGTCCTTGACTGTGCCCAACACTCTCACACCCCAGGGCCTTTGTACTGCCCTGTCCCCTATCTGGAGATTCTTACCCCAGATACCCACATGGCTCACCCTCCCAATATCCCTTTGAGAGGCTCTCCCTGACAACCCAATCTAAAGTCACCTGCTACCCATAGGTCTCTGAACCCCTCCCCCTGAGTGGTTTCTCTTTGTGGCACTTAACCACTCTCTGACCTTATATATTGACTTATTGCTATTCCCCTCAACTGGAATGTGACCCCATGACAAAGTGACTTAGCCTGTGGTCACAGCCATGTCCCCAGTGCTGGGGGCATAGTAGGTGCTTCATAATTACTTGTTGAAGGAAGGAAGGAAGGACTGAGCAACTGGCCTGGCCTCTAGGCTGAGCCCTCTGGACCTTATTTTAGGCACTTTTAATGGCTGTTATTGTGAGGTCATATGAATTCTTCAGTAAAATCAAGCAGATGCAGCATTGGCCATAGCCATGCTTCCTGATGTTAGTAAAACTGAGATTGGCAATTCGAAATTAAAACATGCTGAGGTTTTGATACACTTGTCTTAAGAAATTAAAGAAACACCCAAAACCCTGATATGAAGTGCCTAGATTTTCAGATGTTTGTCATGTGAGTTTTGTTTAGTTGTGTGCATTTGTTTTTCCAGTTACTGTCTGGCACATTGCAGTCCTCAAACATGTGGTTATCTTTGTTGCACTGGAAAAGTCAGTAATTCATAGTCAGCAATTGCATCTGAGCAATTTTTTACCAGTAAGCAATATTTTACCAGTAAGCAATATTTTCAGTCAATAAGGTCAGGACTCAGGAAGAGTGGATTTAAACTTGCTGAATAGAAGCACAGAAACTTGAGCCATAGAGCTTCCATGATTGCTAATTGTCCTAGTCGAAAGGCTAGCACCGTGCGTGCTGTGCATATTCTGATTTTATTAAAATGAATAGTTGGACTACAAAAACCACTGGCAGTACAGGGTTGAATTCATGTCCTTTCCAGGGCCTCAGAATGTGACCTTGCTTGGAAACAGGCTTTTCGCAGATGTAGTTAGTTAAGAAGAGGTCACACTGGAGCAGGTGACCATCAGCACCCATGCTCACTCACCGGCCAGGCGGGCATTGACCCCTGGCGCAGGTGCAGGGCCTGGTGCTTCCAGGAGGGCCCAGGGCTGCTGTGGGGGAGTGTGGCCTGAGGGGCAGCAAGGGCGGCTGGTGGGATGGAGGCTGGGGAGGAGGACGGGGGTGCTGAGGCTGGGACTGAGAGACAATTATGTGGGTTACCTGGAGCTAGAGCGTCAGGGGCACTCACGAGGAAAGGGAAACCCCAGGAAGGAAAAGGGCTCAGGTCAACTTGGTTCTGAGACAGTCAGGCTCATTAGGGTCTCCCTCCCACCCACTCACCAGGGTCTCTCTCCCACCCCGTCACCAGGGTCTCCCCCCCACGTCCCCTATGAGGGTCTCCCCCTCTCTGATTTCTCTCCACTCCTCCTCTTCCTCCCGCACACTCTGGTCTCCCGTGTGCTCCTCAGCGCCCCCGACCACCCACTCTGTCCAGGATGCAACAAGCCCCGGGGTCCCTGTCTCCCGTCCCCCTGCTAGACGTGCCTCTGCCTCCTGTGCTGTCTCCCAACTCTGCCCTGCGCCCCAATTTCTGGGCCTCTTCTTTTGTGCAGGGCCTGGGGTCCTGGATGGCCCTGACACCCCCTCTGTCTGGAGATTCTGTCTGGCCTTGCCTGTGCAGCCCGAGGGCAGTAGCCCTGGTGTCTGTCAGTCTCCTTCCTGCCTGTGACCCCCCTGTGCCCGCCAGCTTGCCTCGGCTCTGCCTCTGCCTGCCACCCCCACAGCATCCTCGGTCTCCCGTCTCCGTCTCTGTCTCTTTCTCCCTCCTTCCTCTCTCTTGCTCTCTCTGTCCTTGTGTTTTTGTCTCTTTTTGACCTCTGGCCCACCCCTCTGACTCTCACAGGGGACATCGCTGGCCCTAAGGACACCCTTGGCTGGGAAGACCAAGCCCTGCCATCTCACGCCAGCCTTCAAAGGCACCGGGGCCCCCACCATGCGGCCGCCGAGATTCAAGGGCATCCCCGCTCGCGTCCGCCCTCGTCCGCCCTCGTCCCCTCCTCCCCTGGGCTGGCTGTGCAGCCTGAAGGGCGAGGGGCACCTACCGCTTCCCCCGGGCAGCAGGAGGCCGGCCAGGGAGGCGCTGAGCAGGACGAGGGGCAGTGGGCTCGCCATGGTGTGGCTGAGGACAGGCCGCCGGGGCAAGGTACACTCACCCGGAGCTCCCAGGGTGGCTGCTGTCCTCTGATTGGAGCCTGGGCCTGCCGGTGAGGCCAGGGGCAGTGACCACCGGGAGAGCGGTCCCTCTGGCCCCGCCTTCCCCCGGCAGAGCTGGTGGCCGGGGAGGTCCCAGCCGAACCTCGTCCTCACAGTGACGGCGTCCAGCAGGGCCAGCTGCGGCCGTGGGAACCTTCTGCTCGAGGAGAGAATAGCAACGTCACTGTGCGCTCCTTCCGCGGTTTTCAGATGTTCACGTCTGACTCTCATTTGGTCCTTACAACCACGATGTATCACTTTCCCAGAACAGAAAACTGAGGTTTAGAGAGAGGTGGAGCGTGAGCGGAGGCCGGCGCGGGTCCATGGGGATTGAGCCAGGACTCTTCGCCCGGCGCCCGGCTTTGGAACGGTCCTTCCGCTCAGGGCTGCTGTCCAGGTGGAATCGGCCAGAACAGAAAACTGAGGTTTAGAGAGAGGTGGAGCGTGAGCGGAGGCCGGCGCGGGTCCACGTGGGGATTGAGCCAGGACTCTTCGCCCGGCGCCCGGCTTTGGAACGGTCCTTCCGCTCAGGGCTGCTGTCCAGGTGGAATCGGGGCGCCTGGATGCAGGTGGCTCCTTGTCACACAAGAACGTGGTCCCTGTACTGTCTCCTGCTTGTCAGGCTTGTCCCTGCCCCCACTGACTCCAGACTCAGCGACTTGGGGACGTGGAGGTGTCTTATGAAACTTCTGTGCCCATGAGGCTCTTACACACACTCTGGAAGGGTGGGAGGCCCTTCCCCAGCGTGCCTGGAGGGACTGCTCTGGCAGGGGAAGCCCCCTCCTGATCTGCCATCCACAGGTCAGGGTGAACCGAGGCTGAGAGGGCCTCTGCAAGGAGGGGCCGGTGGGCGAAGGCTCTCAGCCCCCATGGCTGACCGTGGACGTGGACACAGGTGTGGGGTCCCGGGCATCCCTGGGACGATGGCTGCACATCACTCGCTGTGTAGGTGGGCCGGGCTAGCGGGACAAGCGCACCCTGAGCTGTCAGTGGCTTATCACAGTAAAGCTCATTTGTCACTGACGCGCAGTCCAGGGGTCAGCCGGGGAGGGAAGGAGGCCGCTTGGACACTGAAGGGCCAGGATTGGGGGTCCTGCTGCTGGGCTTGTCACTGCTGGGTTTGGGGCTGGGAAATATGGGGGTGCCCAGGGACAGTTGTTTAATACTGACAGCCTCTGTGGGATGTGTGGAAACTCACCTCTGGTTCTTATCCGTGAAAATCCCAGAACTAGGCTCTGCAAAGTGGCAGCTGTTTATTGTCCAATAAACATGTGGCCCTGGGAGTTGAGACCAGGGAAGGGTGAGTTAATTCAGGTCTGTGACAGCGGAAAGCACCTCACCTCCCAGGCGTGTCCCCATGCTGGCCATGCGGCACTGTGGGAGAGGTATGTGTGCGCAGAGTGGGGTGCAGACCAAGTACTCTCCGAGCCCAGAAACCTCAGGCCCCCGAGCTTCTTGGCTGAACAGCCAGAGGAGTCGCTGGGATGTTGACACGAGGGTCTTGGGAAGAAAAGACCAAATATCAGCCTGCGTGGCAAGTGCTCTGCCATCTGCGTGCTGGTGGCCGGGAGTGGGGCTCCTGACACCTTGTGCTCACTGCTGCCACATGCCACGTCGGGCCTGGCAGATTATTCCATTGTGTGGCCACTTGCACGTGGCCTCATGAGCACAGGGATTGTGCTGGTGTAGGGGGTGCCTGGCACACTGCAGGTGCTCAGCAAACACCACCCATGGGTACCTCACTGGGTGGTTGCTGCAAGCACCAGGCAGTGCACACAGTCTGGGCCTTGGAAAGGGGCCCGCATGGCGATGCAGCAGTTGGAGCTGGGCTCCTGCCTCCCCTGGTTTCTCTGTGCCATGGTGTCACCTCAGGGCAGCCCGGTGTGTGGAGAGACCCGACCTGTGTGAGTGTGGAGGATGAGATGCTCATGGCAGACACACAGTCTCTGCGACCGAAGCCGAGGGGCAGCGCTGGCCTTGCGGGCAGGCCCCTTCTCTGCCTCCTTCCACCCTGGCCTGGGCCTAGGTGGCCATGGCCCCACTGTACTCCACCCCACCACTCACAGAAAGCAGGGCTGACCCACCATAGCTGGCACACCCCATATCTAGCACGTCAGCTCTCAGGGGTCCCCCAGACCCTCAATGAGGCCTCTCAGGGGCACCTGGCACCCAACTCACGGCAGCACTGTGAGGTGGGTGCCTGCGTTGACCACTGACGGTTGGGGAAACTGAGGCCAGGCCAGTACTCTTCTCAGGACCCTACGTAGCCCCCCTTGTTTCTTCCTTAGGCAGGTCGGGTGGCTCCCGGCCTGCCCCCTAGCCCCATCCCCGCTTCCTCCCAGGAGGAGGGGTCCTGCCAAATTTCATATCCAAGAAGCTAGAGCAGCTTCCAGAGACTCAGTGTGTCTCGGTTGCAGAATTTCCCCCCAAATCTCTGAGGCATCTGTATGTTTACGTAGATGACAGGCCTTGGGCCCTCCCAGCCTCGTTCTACCTGCACTGATTTCATCCTCACGACAGGCATTGAGTGGGCTCCCATTCTAGAGATGAGGAAACCGAGGTGCAGTGACTCAGTCAGGGTCAGACTCTCAATACAGGAGGCCCAACCCTCGTTGGCTCCATGGCTTGGGGAGATTGTTAGGAACACAGTCTGGCCAGCGTGTCCTGAAACCGAGAACGTTAGGCTGTGGGTCAGGTGGTCTTTGTGGCCAGACGGTCTCTGTCACAATGTGGACGAGAAATAAACTAATAGGTGCATTCCAGGGTGGCCTGGATCTAGCCCTCGGCCACAGTGTGCAGACCCTGGGTCGACTCTAAAGTAAAGGTTGATTTGTTGTCACCAAGATCAGCTCTTGGCGCCCACCTCACAGTTGAGCACCACTTGTGCCCCAGGACCACCAAATTTGTCAACTCCCGACTTCTCTGTATGTTTGAGTCTCACTCTTCCCCACAGAGGCCAAGTGGTGGCCTTAGGTCAATCACCCTTGGGACTTGACAAGAGGGTAGCAGGCAGGATCCTTCCCACATGGATCCAGCCCTTCCAGGCAGGACCTGGGAACCTGCATTTAGTGATGTGTCCCTGGTGATTCCAGGCAGGAGCCCCTGGGCCTCTTTGAGAAACATCCTTGACAAGGGCCTTGGGCGTAGAGAACACCCAACCGCACAGGGTCCTGGGAGGTACAGACTTAAAACACCCAGGGATTTGGTTTTTAAAAAACAGCCCCCGTGTAAGCTCAATTCAGTGACACTGATAATTGTGAAAGACAAGAGCCTCTCAGGTGGGTGACAGCAAGGACTCACTTAACCAGATAGCGGACAGCCTGATGGACAGCAGACACAGCCAGGCAGCGGGAGGAGTCAGTGTTTACTGTGAGCCAAGGAAGCAGCCGGCCGCGTGTGCTGTCATGTTACGTTCAAAATACACATACAGGAGGATCTGGAAGGATATCCACCGAAATGCATGGAAGGCGCTTCTGATTGGTCTAAAATGAATGAAATACTCGCATAGGAAAGAAAAACCGAAAGTTGACAAGAGCCTTCAGAAGACAGCCTGCGTCGACGCGTGCTTCCGTGTGCGCGTGCACACACGTGTGTGCGTGCCTTGACTGTCTCCAGCAGCGAAGACAGAACAGCCCGACCATCAGCAGGGCACATGCAAGCTGGGCTGGGGCAGATGGGCAGGGGAGGCTGGGGTCTCGTCCCCAGGGTCTGTCTGCCTCAGTCTCTCACCTTCCTGTCCCTCTCAGCCTGTCCCTTATTAGTCTCTGGGTCTCGGGTCTCTCCGAGTCTCTGTTAGTGCACCCTCTCTCCCTCTCCCAGTCTCTACCTCCCTCTCTCCCACCCCCACCCCAGGAGGGGGTCTGGTGCCAGGACAACTCTCTGCAGCAGCGGCTGTCCGGCTGCGGGGCAGGGCTGGGGCTGACACGCGGTGCTAGGGGAGGGGGGCTCGCAGGAGGGGGCCTGGGCGCAGCTCCGAGTCCATGAGCCTGCTCAGCCACTCCACATACTGGGAGACCCGGGTGTACACCCCGAAGTGGCCTGCAGCCGCACAGCCCTTGCCCCAGCTGACGATGCCCGTCAGGTACCACGTGCCCCGGTAGCGGGTGGCGTGGGGGCCGCCACTGTCCCCCTTGCAGGCGTCCTTGCTGCCATCTGGGTAGCCAGCGCAGAACATGTTCTCCGTGACACGGGGGGAGTCGCTGCCCTTCTCCGACTGCTCCTCGCAGTCCTGGGTCATCAGCCGGGGCACCTCAATGGACATGAGCTCCAGGGCCGTGGCGCCCCGGTCCAGCAGCTGGCCCCAGCCGGTGACCCGCGAGAAGCGGATGTAGGCCAGCGTCCTCTCGGAGAATGTCCTCTCGGGCAGACACATGGGCACCACATGGTCAGTGAGGGCCACGGGCCGTTGCAGGCGGAGCAGGGCGATGTCGTGGTCCGTCATGCCCTGGACATAGCGGTCGGGGATGATGACCTGCACCACCTGCCGCTCCTGCTCGTCTCCGTCCTTCTCGCTGAGGTTGTGCTCGCCTGGCAGGAAGCCGAAACGCTCATGGCATGTCCCCCTGTGCCCGGCCTCACCCTGCCTCGCCCCTCTCGCCCATTTCTGGGTCTGGAGCCTCTTCTGGGACCAGGCAGGGCCTGCATGTGACCCCCAGGGTGGCCAGGCTGAGCCCCCCTGGTAACAGCTGGTAACAGTGGGCCACGTGGGAGGGTGTGAGCTGGGGCTGAATCGGGAGCCTGGGGTGTTGAAGGCCAGTGAGGAAGGGGCGTCAGCCTGGGGCCGCTGTGGGTGGAGGGGAGGAGAGGGCCCCCAAACGCTCCAGCTCTTCCCAGACCAGGCCCGACCTTCCTTGGTGTCTTTTTCTTGCCCATAAACCCAGCAGAAGAGGCCCTGCCCC